GCTACCGATGTTTTCTATTACCGTTTTTTCTCAGATAGAAATGCATGAGCTGCACTCAAAGAAGTTGCAGCAGCAGCGGCAGTTGGGGCCAATGCACGTGGGCCGGATCCGCCCATGTGTAAGCAAAGTGAACTGTGTGGAGATGAGGTTGGGGCCTTGTAGCTGGCTTGAGATTGTAGAGAGAGGAGCCGGGGCGCTCCCCATTTCAGCCAAATCCATGCACAACACGGGGGGGGTGGGGGGGGCGGGGCGTGCGGTTGATAACGCTGGTGTCCATGCCAACAGAGATGATAGTGCTCATGTTCCTGATAGGATGATCGGATCGAGAACAAAATTTGGGAATTATGTTGATTCCTTTGTGAGCCGTAGCGCTACCATCCCAAGTAAGCCGATCTGGCAAGTGTAGGAAGCTACACAGTTTACAAATTGCTCACGTTCTTCAGCGCGCTGAGGTTGGGCCACCAAAAACTTTTGATTTCAGTATTGATGACATTGTGGAAATTCACAGCGGCCCAAATAGGACTTTACAAGGATCAGGTTGGTTGTTGAAGATATGCCCACCGAAGAAAGTGCATCAGCAGTTCCTTGCGCAGGCTACGCTGGCTGCCATCATCTTGCGCTCTACGTGGCAGCTGGTGGACTTTCACACGCCAAAGACTCTCTGGAGTTCATGGAAGCATCTCGACTTTCAATCGAACCCCTTAAGTTTTCTTGTTGGATGACAGGAATTCTGGGTGTGCACTTGGTGCCCGCAGCCAAGGCCATACCATCAGGGTGGCATGAAGAGGGACTTCATTGTTTGGTGGATCGCCTTTTTATTTACGGTTTTCAAAGGCAAGGGCTAGCAAAAGAACAAGCGCGTCGTGTTTAATCAGCGTGAGCAGAGCAGTATGATGTTTTGCGGGCAGGAGTGCTGTGGGGCATCGGCCTGGCCGTCTTCGTTTCAGTGCTTATGATCGTGCACGATGCCGCCGTGCCCAGGTTCCTCACAGTTTCACAGTGCAAGTCCTACTCGGTCGGTGTCTGCAAACACGTTCAGCCTGTATACAATGCAGCGTGGCTCCTCCCTGAAGGGTGGTGAAGCTTGGTTCTATCGAATCATTGGGCAACATATGGCGTGACCAGGATGTTTGGCCAGAAGGGCGCACCTATCCAGGCAGGGCACAAACGGCAGTCAGCTGTCGCGGGTTCGTTTGATCACAGTCTTGCCCATGACAAAGGCAGACTGGACCAGCAACTGTGACTTGATCGGTTGTTGTGCACTTTATTTGCAAGCATTCGCGCAGTGTTTTGAAAGAGTCGCCGGTGGTCGAGCTTGAATTAAGATAGGAGGCATGTCTGAACACCACAAATCATGTGGAAGCATTGGATGCCCTAGACACCTGAAGCCTAGGCATACAGTAGCCGTGAGGAAAGGGCAATTCTTTTTTTTCCGCGCAGCTATTTAGCACTCCGCGCATATGCCTTGCTAAGTTTCAAAAGAGAATTCCGAAGTTCATCGTAACAAAAACGCTTTTGCACGTCAGCGACCTGTCAGCCCGTCATGACGTGTGCCGAAAGGACGGTACGCAGCGTATTCAGCGACTCCCTGCATCTGATCTGTCCAAGACTACGTTGCATCACCTCCATCATTCTGCATCTACTGTATCAAGCGTCGTTGACCGTCAACTCGGCGGAAAACAATCATGTGCCATGACGGTGACAGTTGCTTGCCGGAAGCGTTTGACAATCATGGAGCCCCAGCATTGCGACAGGGCGCTTGCCTCCAACGACAACTTGCCCATTTGAATAATTTCTCCATGCGCATGGGCTCCAAGAATGAGAAGTTCCTCGCGCGACGCATTGGTACACTGAGTTCGCGAGTTTCGCCTTCCTCGTGAATCCTTCTATTGCACTGGCCTGGACTTCCGAAAAGTGCAAAGCGTTACAGTGATGATCCGTGTCTGGCTTGAAATGCGCGTGATTGTTGTCGTTTTCTGGGTTACTCAACCACCATTCATGCAATAGGCTGACTGGTTAAAGCATCTAACAAACACCAAGAGCATGTCCAGCAAGATGTCTAGAATCCTTCCGTCCCAGATCCTTCACTGCTCCATATAAGAAAAGCATCCCAAACAAGGACACCTTGTCGAGATGCATCCATAGTGCAGTACCCTAAGTCCTAATCTCTACACCGTTTGCTGTGTCAAGTTCTGTGGGCAGCGTGGCTCCTCCACGTTTCCCCCCCAGCACCTTGACTAGCTTTCGTTCCAGCCCCTCGGCCCCCAACTTCGGACTTAAAGGAAAGTAGTCAATCCCGTTTCCTACCCCGAACAGACTGCTTAATGATTCTTGAACAGGGTGCACCATAGTTCCATGTAGGATAGTTCATGGTTAGCAGTGTTGCTATCATCACCACTTTGTACTTATTCTGTACAGACTTCTCTACGTCACAGGGAGGGAGGAGGGAGGGAGGGCGGTAGGGAGGGAGCGAGGGAGGATTGCTTGAAAGACGTTGCGAAACTCTACACGTCAACCACACCAGAGGAGGGGATGGGGAGAAACTGTTGCCTCTTTTGCTTATTGCGAGGTGATGCTCAAGCATCTGCCATTTTTGCTGTTTGCGCAGCGGTCGTCGCTTTTTGCAGGCGTCCTGGTGATCGAATTCAGAGGACCTTTGTCCTTTGCGAGTGCGGACCACTTCATGGAGGAGGCTTCCTCGCTGCTTGATTTGTAGTGTAGTAAATGATAGAGCACAGCGCCAATCGGAGAGAAAACAAATCTTGACGCAATCTGAGTAAGAGTGATGTAAGTGCTGGGCTCAGTTATTGTGCTGGTGCTCGTTCCATACAGTGCACAGTGTATCGTCATGACTTCACGTTAAGGAACAGCAGGCTGGTAGCAGTTTGGTTGGTGCTGCATCAGCTGGCAAAGCAGTTTGCAAAAGTGCGAAGATTCGACAATTGCAGGTTGAGAACAAGCGCTTGCAAGAAGAGGAGGCTGGACACCCCGTCGAGGTCATTGTACTGCCCTTTGGCAGTGTGCCTAATTTGCAAGCATGAACCGGACCTATCTCCAGTCCCGGCCAGCGTGTAGCAACTTCTACAAGTGCACTGCGTGTGCTTGAATCAAGTGGCAAAAATCTTGATCGCAAACGCTGGCCAGCAAGGTTCACGACCTGGACAAGACTGCCATTGAGATGTTACGGGATCTGCTTACTGAGCTGTTTGGCTGAATTATTGTGAACACAACTAACAGCTTTTTTGGCCACATCTCAGGGCAACCTTAGCACGTCAGTCCTGCAGGGGCAGACCGGTACGTCCGCTGGCAGTTGTGCCTGACACTCTCAGGTGGCGCAAGCGCAATTTGTCCTGCATCGTGGCAGAGGCCAAAAGTCGTGTCCGTCTGCTGTTGGAGGAGCTGAGAGGAACTTCGGGGACAGCAGCAGCCCATGGTTCCTGAAGTCTTTTCTGCTGAGGAGCATTTCGGAAAGGGCGCCAAGCCTCTTCTTGACCAGCCAGCCTTCATGATCAGCTTCCCGTCAGATTTCTTGGGTCACATGATCTGCTTGTGGCATCTTGCGGCATCTCTCTTTGTCTCTCCCTGTCCCCTTTTCTAAAGTTGCAAGTTCTGCCAAACACCCGGTGAAGCAAAACAAAAAAAGGCTTTAAGTGCACAGATTGATTGGTTTCAGGTTTGGACGTTGCGGGCTCAGCTGTGCGCCTTTCTGTCTCGATATCGCATGATATGGCCCTCTGCATGCAGTGTTTGACAGAAGACCAATGACAGGATGCGGTCTCTTTGGCCAAGATAAACGTCGCCAAGCGAAAGCGGCGGGTGACTGCTCAGGATGATTCAGGCAACATGAGAAGGGTTCTTTTCGTCCAAGTCCACAGATGTGCTAATGAACACCGGCGTTTTGTTGGATCCAGGTACGGCAGACAACATCAGAAATCAAACGCCTCGTCCTTAGCTTTGGTGTGGAGGGGCGGGAGAGAAATGCCCTCAGCGGCGGCCTGCACAGCTTCAGCTGAAGACAGGTTTGCAGAAAGCCCAGCAAGCATGACAAGAAATGATGGGCCAGACTGTGCTGAGCACATCTTACTAGAGATCAGAAGCTGCAGGCAAAATCTCTGGGCTTCAAATGCTGTTTGGATGGGGATGTCTGGATCCATGGGAGGGCGGACTTGCCCTTTGCAGGGTTGGCCGTGGTCATGTTGCGAAGGTTCTAAGCGGTCAATTTCATGTTGCTGAACAGCACTTCCGCTGCACGTGCCAGCCCAGTGCCCAAAGATAGAAGCAGAAAGTGAGCACTAGGAGAAGAACAGAGAGAGTTTCCGAGGGCCTGCGCTATTGCATGTAGGGCACCATCCATCAAGCTGTCAGCACGTCCTAATGTGCCTCTTTCGGTGGTTTGCAATTGAAAGCTGTTCCTGCTGGAGGCTGCGACAGCCACTGCTCACGGATGAGGAAGTCGGGCTTCTCGCATGGCATTGGCACGTGGCCAGCAAGTTGTAAAAGCTGTGGGGAAAAATCACTTGCTGAGGCAGAATGATCGGGGATTTCATCGAAGCACCAGCTCCAGAGTCTAGCCCGGCCTAGCCGCAAGCAGCGCTGTGTTCCCCAAACTGCTTCCTATTCCAGAAAACTGCTACGATATACATGCTAGGCTGCTAGGCAGGCTTTGCTTCCATTTTAACGTGCTTGACAAAGGGGCGGTGACCGGATTGCTCACAAGGAGCCATGCCTCTCCGCCATCTCCGCCCTTGTATCTCTAGCCTCCTTTCAGGCTATGTCTGCGCAGTGCAGACTGCTTCCATCTGCCTCCTGTATCAGCATCTGCTTGGGCAAGACTGCCCACAGCATGCTGCAAAGCCCTGCACGATGCACTAGGCGCAGAATAGGTTATTGACTATGCAACTGATATGAGCTGCAAGGAAGTGAAAACACGACCTTTCAACTTCCGTTGCGTTTTGCTACGGGTGCTGAGCTGACCCCACCTGCACAATCGACGTGCTGAGTCGACTCAATATGGCGGATGCTGCGGTTTTCCCCTTGATGCTGGTGATTGTCGTCATGGGCCTCTGTCGAGTATTTCATTCTTTCTATCACTACGTCAAGCACCTCTCCGGCAAGGCTTGGCTGGAATGAGGATGGGTCCCCAAGTGCTGGTAGATGATTAAAGGTGCTCGCATCTGCCGAGTCCATGATCCTCGCTCTTTGGCTTCAGTACTTGCTTGAACTGAGCTCTTACTTCTTATCTTCTTTGACACTTAGGAAATCGAGGCTCGGAGCTGAGTGATAATCCAAGTTCTATTCCTCTTGGCGCTTCTTTATAGAATTTGTGAAACTTCCGGAGCAGGGCCAAGCGCCTCCTGGTGACTCTTCGCAAAGGACGGTGGCTTGACGTGTTGTCAGCCGTATCAGAAGAAATAGCGCCCCTGCCAGGGCGGGTGCATCCTGACATGCACCCCTAAACAGATTCGGCTTGCCCAATTTGACTGCCGCTTACAAAGGCTGCTCCGTAGTAGAGCAGCTTCAGCTGGCCCGACTGGCAAGCGATCAGAAAAGTATAGGAAAGTGCCTTTGCTGAAGCGGTGCGGGAAGAGCAGAAAGGCCTAGCTAGGTCAGACCGTGGAAGTAATTCATGATGCCACCTCATGCTTGCTTGGGATTAGAGGCGTGTACTTTCTCTCCCTCTCATGGGAGAGCTGTGTTATGTGCGAGTCATCTTTGCATACAGAAATCTGGCCATCGAATTTCTACGCCATCCGCCAGTCGGTTCAGTTTAATGCAAATGGGCAACCCATGAGGCTTAGCCAGGTGGCCGGCATGGCAACCCTCATGAATCTTAGCACAATTCAAAGACTTCCAGCTGTGAACTTCGTAGATTGATTTGAGGCTAGGCTTTGTTATGTCATTTGCCAAGCAACATCAGAAATCGCACGCAGGGAGTTGTTTGGCATGGGCTGATGTCATGCGTTGTTCGCGGGCATGGCGAGCCTGGAGACGTGCAGAATGGATGAGGCGATTGCCACGTTGGCCGAGGCTCAGATCAGAGAGATCAGAGCAAATCAGAATCAGAGCAGTCTCAAGCGTTTCTGTGGAGGATGGCGTAGCTCCAGGAAATGCGCGCGAGGAGGAAGAGGAAGTGAAGGCCGAGGACAACCTTGCAAGGAAGCCTAAGACTTTACTACGTTCCCACAACAGGTGGATGCTATGCTTGCAAGAATGGACGAGCTCATGGCCATGGCTGCTAAGCTTTGACAACATTAAAATGTGCTGCTGTCATGTCAGATGCCCATTCAAGGTGTCAATAGCGACAAGTGACGATGACTTTCGAGAAAAAAGGCCTTGCATCGCGCCGTGGTACTAGCTACAAGGTGTGCCACAGCTGCCCTGCAAGGCAGCGCATTGCCTCGAAGCTTCGAAAAACTTCCTATGAGCTGATGCGCGCGACCTCTCCAGGCCCAGGTTTTGGAGAGAGCTGTTCCAGACTGGCATGCTGCTTGCTGCTGCTGCTGCTGTTGCTGCTGCTGCTGCTGCTGCTTCTGCAGGTCGCCTGAGTAACGTTTGGGAAAAACGTGTATTTTGAGCTAGGTATAGTAGTGCAGACCGAAAATCGTGTACTTTGAGCTCGGTATGGCACTGCATGCCAGCTTATGGCGACCGACAAATTGCCCGTTCGAATGCTTGACAAATTTGAAGTTAGAAAGGGCGAGTCAGCACGGAGGCACACTGCAGACGGCTAGGTGGCTAGATGATTCGAATCATGTGTGGTGGTCCTGGTTGTGTTTGTCCCAAGGCAGTCTGTATGTCTAAAGAGTCTAAAGTCAATACAGGCGTGATCGCAGCAGCTGTCTAGGTTCTGAACTCCTGAAAAACGATACAACAGGCAGGGCCAGGGAGGAGGACGTGAGCGGCAGTGAAGTATGGGAAGGCGTCGTGCGGGCCTCTGCTCCATGGGCTGTGAAGTCAGCAGCTGTTGCCTGTGCCAAGGATCCACCCTCGCATCATGACTCGGCGCTGGTGATCAAGGAATTGTTGCAGCGGTCACGCGAGGCTCCTGACAGCGTAGCGCAACAGTTGGAATCGGACTAGCTAGCCAGAGGCAGATGAGGTGGCGAAGTTGGCGAAGCTAATCTCCTTTCAGGCTGTGCAACTGGAGGCAGGATGCCACTGCAATCAGGCATTGTTCAGATTGAGCAGGCCTGTGTCAGTTGAACTACTTTGTAACTAGTGGTTTAAGAAAGCGCTGCGCTGCCAATCCAACAAGATGAGATGAATATTTACCAGATTTCGCTTGCCACGGTTTGGTAGCAGGCCCAACTTTGACCCCCGATTCAAGTGCAACCGGCTTTCAGGTCAATGGCCGCCGGACGCAGGCAGCAGAGCAACGGTGCGAGGTGGACACAAGTAACCAAGCTCCTTGTTGATTCCGATAGTGTAGGGCGGAGGCCTTTTTTTTTGTTTCCTGCGTTCCTGCTTATTGTTTTTTGCTTTGTGCTTCTTGCTTTCTGCTATTTGCTTTCCGCTTTGTGCTTGCCGCTTTTCGCTTCTGGCTTGTTGCCTTCTGCTTATGTTTTCTGCTTGTTGCTTCTTGTTTCTTGATTTCCGCTTTTTGCTTTCTCTTTCTTGCTTGTTACTTTTTGCTGTCAGCTTCATGCTTCCTGTTTCTTGCTGCCTGCAATCTCCTGAGTGCTCATTGCTTTCTGATTTTGGCTTCCTGTTTCTCGTTGACTGCTCAGCTTCCCGATCGCTGCTGCTCGTATCTGCGATTGTTGTTTTTTTGCTTCTTGGTTCTTCCTTTCTGCTGAGTACCCGCCGTTATCCATCATGTGTCAGCATTTGCATCATTTTCAATAACTTTCATGACTGTTCATCACGTCCTCCATCCTGCTTCACCTGTTTCCCATGCTCTTCATGGGTTTTCATAGTCTTTGTCATTTTCAGCAGTTAGTTTCCATCATCTTTCATCATCTTTATCCCTGTTGTTTGCAAGGTGGTGGGGGCTGCGCCTCCCCAACCTCCCGCCTTCTTGAAGGTCTTCCATGCTTGCCGAACAAAGAAACACCATGTCATCATCATGTTTGCAGTGACGGATGGTTATACAGATCATTTTGTTGGCGCACGGAGGGGCTGCGCGACCCCCAACCCACCTTGAGGGCCGTCGATGCTTGACCACTGTTCGTCATTTTAAATCATCTCGTGAGTTTTCATCATTGTCGTCAAAATTTTTCATCATATGTATCATGTTTCATGATTTTCCATCCTCCTTCAACAGTTTCCATGGTTTGCCATCATTTTCAATTTTCATGATGTGTTATCTTTTTCCATATTCCATAGTTTTTCATCACATTTCATAATTTTCCATTATGTTTCTTCATTTTTTAAGACCTGTCATGCTTTTCATCATATTTCATTAAATTTCATAATTTCATCAAACTTCATGGTTTCACATTGTTATCATATTTCATCATTGTCATCATGTTTCATCATGTTTCATCATGTTTCATCATGTTTCATAATGTTTCATGATTTTCCATCATTATTGATCATTTCTATCAATTTTTATTCTTTTCTCATCATTTTCAGCTAAAAATCGATCTCTCACCTGCGACTTTCTAAAAACAAGAAAGGCAACAAAGCACAAGAAACAACACCCCAATTGATTTTGCGTCCGTATATCGCCTTTACTGATTGACAGCAGGGTGCAGTCTCTGTTCAGCTCCTGTGGAGGCACTGGAACAGCGTGCCAAGGCTGCTGAGCATTGCGTGGAGGCACTGGAGAAAGAGCTGGAATTGCGGCGCCGTCGTGTCTCTTGGCTGAAGACTCTTCGTAATATCCTCCCCTCTTGTCTACAACCGTGTTGCTTCAGGCGGATCTATTGGAAGCGCACAGGAGGAGTGATTAGAAGCCTCACCTGCGCATTGGCATTGCCTTTGTGGGCAGGATGTTGGCAGCAGACAACCTCGAACTACAGAAGCGACTTCAAAAAGCCAAGCCGCTGGAAAAGGAGGGAGAGGACCGAGATGCCTAAACTTCTGCTCCAATCCCTCAAGTCTCAAGCAACCAAGACATTTTTTCGATTAAATTCGTGTCTTTGGGAGGCTTCGGCTTCGGCTTCGGCGGCTTATTTGCACAGGGAGGCCACCCAGCTCCTGGAGAAGCTCAGTAGCTTGGTTTGAGAGGATTGGAGGATTGGAGGCATGGCTCATGGAGTGTGTTTCAATGCAGCTTCCTCCCACCAAGGCCACCCACGCACCAGAAATGCAGCTGATGTGGCGTGGCAGGCAAGAACTCTTGAAGATAATTTCAGCAAAGCTTGGGCCAATCAATTTACGTGAACCTTCAGGACACGCAGCATTCCCAGCATGGGCAGGGAACTGCAAGGCTTGCTTTGCATGCTCCGGCCGTGTTAGCAAAGTGAGGAGCGTGATTGCCCTGTGGAGGTCACCTACATATGGCTCAGGCAGCGCTGGGCGTCTAGTTCCCGAAAGCCTTGCAGGCCTCACACACACTACTTTGCATGCACTGCGTGTCTGAAGCTTGCGGTGAATTCTACGACTTGGAAAGGAATGATACATAATTTGGCACCAGGATGGGAACACATGGCCGCCTGAGAAATTCAAGGGTATTGTCCAAACTTATGACACCAGAAATGTAAATTTTGTGGCCCTGCAATACTAGCACATCCTCACTAGACTCTCCCTGACCACTGCTGTCAATTATAGAGCTGCCCCGAAGGCTTTCGGTCTAAAAAACAGACAACAGGCTCCATCTTATTGGCTATCGCGGCCCTTGCCATACTGGCCGGCTGTGTTGTGCTATGCAGACGCTTATCAAGATGAGACTTTTGTTGAAGCTGAAGCCCTTCGGTGAGACACGATTGCCGCAATACTCTGTCCAGTATTGGACATTCGGCACATGCTCTTGCCTGTGGAGGTGGTTTGGGTTTGCTTCTCTCCCTACATGATACCGCACATATTTTTGTTGAAGCTTACTCCCTTCATGGTATGAGGCGCTTGTGCTGTCCACGTGTAGTGCTGTACAGCCCATTGTAGACGGGCTGTGTTGCGTGCAGGGAGAACAGGGGACTCCGGGCATTGGTCCAAGCAGACACCGTTCTTGACACAAAACTGTGAGCAGGTAACGTGTGTGATTTATGATCTTTTAGGATATGGGATTGGTAGCGCTGAATCACGTTTCAGAGAATTGTCGGGTGTAGCACGTGTCTCCAAAGCTGAGCGCATACCTTATGAAAGACCATGGTGTTTAACGACACACAAGAAAACAGTGGGGGATAGTGGGGGGTGTGCCCGCTGCAAAAATTTGCCAGATGTCTGGAGTAGCTCGTGGCATTTTCTTTCCAATGGGTGTTGCATGATGTTGGGCTTCATTTGCATTCGTGGTTTCAGAACGGGAGGCGACGCCAAGCTGCGATGGGCAGACTGGCGGGTGCAGAACCGACCTTCAAATGGAGACTTGGAGCAAGTTGCACGCCTATGCAGATTGTCCGCAAAGGGGTCAAAGCATACTGTAAGGACTGCACATCGTCGACCAGATGCGGAAACCTGCTAATATCAAGGTTGGCAAACTTGGACTCGCAACATCTGTGCCAACGTGAAAGTACTGGTCTGACTGGTATTCCTTGATGCAGGTACCAAAAGGGTCAGCTAGTGGGCCTGCTGGCCATGCTTCAGCGCCAACCCCGAGGTTTGCCGTGACAGGCACACCTGCGCTAGCAGCAGGCATCGTAGCATGTGGTAGTTGCTTGCAGTAAACAAAATGTGTATCCCACAGATTCATAGTGAATGTTTTTTCTTAGCATGCAGCTACTGCTGCGAGAAATGTTAAAAGTGACTCTTGTCGACTGTCTGTGTTTGTTGAGTCTCTTCCCAGATGGGCAAGCACATTGCTCGGTTGAACTTCCACTTGCTGCTTGCGCTGCGTTCGCAGTCCATTGAAGTAAGCAGCAGATGTTGGTGTTTGCTGATCTGTTTCGGCCTGAAAGCCTGCAAGCGTTTGCTGCAAGAGCCCAACAGTTTTTGGTGGCATGTTGATAGGAATTCCGTCGTGGTCCCGGCGGACGCTGCCTCCCCGCGTGGAGACGGCCAGGCACAAGCTGCTGTCAGCCCAATCATCCTCCCCATGCTTTTGGGACCCACGATCAGGCCGCGGACCGGAATGTGGGCGCCGTTTCTCAACGAAAGCAGTGACGCTTAATTGATGCGCAGCGAATGGAGTTGCCTTGCGATCTAGTCTGCTTCTCTTGTATGTGACAAATCAGGTTCGAGTGGTGTGACGTCCGCGGCATATGACTTGCGGCCCTACGAATTAAGGACGTGAATTGGGGTTCGTCTCGGCTGGATGCCCCCCTCCTTGATCTCATTTCCGCAATGCGCAGCGAGTCATTATGATATAAAGGTACGGCTTCAGGAGAGTCCATTTCATTCCTCAGACGTTGAGGGGTGCTGCCAAAGCTTTCTTGCTCACGAATCCTCAAGCCTCGTGCCAGTGTGTTGATGCCGGCACAGCGGCGAACAAACGGTTCTGAAGCTCGTATACAAGCGGGCGTAGCACAGAGCCCATGGATACCATGGCTCTGGTTATGCTTTTGAAGTCTTGATAGCACATGTGGGCTTGTGCTTTGGTTTTTGGCAGTGGAAGATAAGTCACGACCTACGTGTTGCAGATTGACCGCGTGCATGCCCACAGAGCATCTGCAGCCCGTAGCACCTCCTCTCTTGTTTAGACCAACATGTTAGTCCCACTTCCGTGGTGGTGTGGTCTCTGGGACGTGTTGCGGGGCTTAACTGCAGGAGCTTCGAAGGACAGATCGCCCAAGGCGACAGATTAGGACTTTAGGATACTTTAGAACTACCTATGGCTTTTCCAGAGGCTGGTCGGAGCAGCACTTCCGATTTCACAATCAGCATTCAAGGCAATCTCAAGCCGACCCGCTTCAAAGAGATGCTTTGTGTGAAGCTGCGCTATCCCGCGGCAAACACAAGACCACCGCTAGCACTTTCAACGCGTCTGTAACCTGGCGGTTACGTAAGGCGTACCAAAGGAAAAGGCACGTGCCATGTCATGCGGCTCTTGATTGTAGGGCTTTCGACTCGCAAGCTGTGCATGCTGTTTCACGATTCCATCATTCCATGCAGCTGCAGGGTGGCTTGGCGCGAGTGAGGAAGCTACATAAGCGTGCTTGGACGGCTGTCACCTCAGACCACTCCTTCCAAGAAAAGGAAGACAGGATTTGCTTCGAAGGCCTACCTGCGAGGAAGGAGGCGAAGGGCAGCGAGCCTGGCTCTGGCCGTAGGAAGCTGAGAGACACTCAAACTTGCAAAAATTAAACAAAACATTCACAAAGATTTTGTTCTTTCCTCCCTGTCTCCTCTTGCGCGGGGCTTTCGCCTACCTGTTGGCTCTCAAGGAGGCTTCAACAGGAACTCAAGGGCATAACAAATCCAGAAGGAAAGCGCTTGCACAGAAAAACAGAAGACTGTGGTTGTGCTGTTGCACGCGTGATAGACTTCTTTCAGCCGACGCAGAATGGCTGTGGCCGTGTTGGGAAGCTGAGGCTTTATGGTCGCGAAAAAAAGGAGGCTTCAACTTGCTGCTAACAGGTTGCAGAAAGCCCTGCAAGACTCAGTGAGAGGTTTGGATCCTTTGATGGAGGCCGGCCTGTGGCATTTGATGGGCTGGCACCTTACAGCAACTGCTGCTTAAGTTTTTGCTCACCTTCTTTCTCTCAGGCGCCGGTCGCGGCAATTCGCCCATCCTGTTGCAGCGATGCCTGCGAGTCATTCAGGAAGCCTTAGCAGCAGGCACGGGTACTGGGTTAAGGGGTCCCGCGGTGAACCAAGTGGTGCCACATGGCTTGCTGCAATCTGTGCCAAAAGCAGACCTGTTGCTTGAGATGTTCATCTAATCTGTTGAGCAGGACGTCCCAGTAGAAGCTGTGTAAGTTTGACAGGCACCATGCAGGAAGACGCTCTGCGCAGGATGCAGGCCTCCCCGCTTACAGACCACTAAGCCACCAAGCATGCAAGGCAAGGCTATCTCCATGTCAATGTAGCTTCTGCATCACTTGGAAGCTGGGTGATCAGCATGGCTCAAGACTAAGCAGGGGCCAGTATCCCATGGCGCCCGTGTCCGAAGGTTTAGCTGTTCATGTGTCTGGAGCAGGTTCCGAAGATGCGGACGGGCTGTACGTTCGAACGAGCAGGGTTTGGCACGGAGCCCCTGTCTTTGAGAACGACCGCAGATGCATGCTCTCCCGTGAGCCTCATAAGAGCCAGAGGACAGGTGAGACTTCCTATGGTTGGATCATCGGGCAGGACCGAAAGCCACTCTATGCGGTTCAGTCGGAAGCCTTGCAGCCACCAACGGAAGGTTGGAGGAAGTTCACCGGCCTGCTTCCCATTCCGCGCATTCAGAACTCTGACTCGCTAGAGACTGCTGCGGAGATGGCAGCTTTCGCAATGAAAGAACAGGGCAATGCACTGTTCACCGGGCGTTCCTACAAGGATGCAGCTGCCAAGTGGTCCCGAGCGCTTGGGATCTTGGCCGGGGTAAACAGAGATGCAGCCCTGTCTGGCACAATGCTGCAATTGTCAGTGACTCTGTATGCGAACAGGGCAGAGGCAAAGCTTCGACAAGAACTCTGGGATGACGCGCTGACAGATTGTGAGGCAGCCTTAGAGCAAAAACCAACGCACGACAAGGCCTTACTTCGTGCAGCGTTAGCCTTGAAGAGCTTGCGAAGACACAGGGAGGCAAAGGAAATGGTCCTGCGGTGTCTGGAGGTCGACCCGAGAAGCCAAGAGGCGAAAGGCTTCTTGCGCGATCTGGACCAGCTGATGGAAGGAGAACAGCACCAGATTCCTGCTAGAGCCAGGTCCGCAAAAGAAAAGCTGCGAGAAACCGCGCAGAAAGGTGATGCAGACTTGAGTACCATCCCACGGGCTTTCGACACGAAGGACGTGAACAACAAGAAAGGCTTTGCTGCCTTTGAAGGCTATAGCAAGCTCCGCCAGAAGGAGGAGCAGGTACCCATCACCGAGCTGCCCTACCACAAAATGGGCTTGCCAGATGCGCAGGTAGAACTGATGGACACATTCTTCCGAGAGGTTCGCGCCAACAAGAAGCAGCAAATGATGCACCAGAACAGAGAAACAACAAACTATGAGCTTGTGAAGAACGAGTACCGTGAGCGGGTGTTAGAGGATCGAGCTCTCGGGCGCCAGGATCCGATCGACCTGCAAGTCCGGGAGAGTAAGAAGGAAACAAGGGACGAAGACCTTTTGCCGTCTCTGGTTGTCAAGAAGAAATCCCCGGACCTGGCTGTGGACAGGGTAGGTTTGTCAGTTGCAGATAAGGCAGAGATTGACGATCTCTTCAACAGCTTTGGGCCGAAGAAGTCTGCAGATCGTAGGTCAAGACTGGAAAAGCAGCTTGATGCGGAAGAGGAGGCCGAAAGAGAACTTCGCGAGAAACAGGCCTGTGAAGAGCTCCGTCGCCTCCAAGCCAGCAGGAAGGGCGAGCCAACTCGCTTTGAGCAGGCCGGAGGTGAAGTCTACTGCTGGTGGACGTTGCCCTCTGGGATTTCGAGCAAAGATGTCACGATTCAGACATCGCGAGCCGGTGCTCACTTGCTTGTGGAGATCAAAAGCATCGCCATTTTTGACCGGGCACTTTTCCATGTCATTCGGGGGGACGATCTTCTTTGGTCTTTGGATGCCGGGGAGTTGTCCTTGACCCTGACAAAGGCTGAACGAAACAAGCTTTGGGATCAGCTGGGTGCCGTTGGCGACATTCAGCTTGATGCCAGCGGCAAAGTCATTTCCTCCAGTGTTCCTGAGCCAATGTCTGCAGATGACAGGCTTCGGAAGTTCAAGCAGATGGTAGAAGGTGATGATGGGCACGAGGCGCGGTATGAAGATCTCGGTGACACGGGCAGGCAGATTGTCGATGCGATGAGGCGCTATGAGCATGCTCGCGCCACGGGAGATAACAATGCCTTGTCTTTAGCTGAGCACGACCTTGAGGAGCTGGGCCGTGTTGTAATCTAGCAAGGCCTCGAAGCAAGGCAATGCCTTGGCCATGACCATCCGTGACCGCGTCTTCCTCGTGGCGCAAGGTTCAAAAATCATTGCTGCTGGCCGGCTCGCTGTGGGATTTGCGTGCATGTCGGTGTCAGTGCAGAAACAGGCGGAGTCGTTGTTGAGGTGTGGCTCCAAACTCTCAAGCTATCTGCTGCTAGAGTGAGCAGAGAATTTCGTCAAAGCCCTGTCGCCTCAGCGACATCGTTTCCTGTCCTGAGGCTGCGGGACTATCGCAGTGCTTTCGATGTGTTTGCGGAAATGGTTTGAAGCTTAGCCTCTATGGAGCCCTGTGTTCGGACCAAATTTCAGTCACTGCCTGACAAGGCACCTCGCTGCTGGGAGGACTGCTTCTGCTTGTCCAGCAGGAGTTCCACAAAAAGAAGACGTGTTTTGCTTGAGGATCCTCAGGTGGCACCTTTTCGCCTCCGTAACTTCCTTGGTCCCTCCAATCATGGCGTGCTGTTCTAGTCCCAGAGCTTGTCATTGACCAAGTTAGTGCCTGTGCCATGCTGAGGACATGATATTCAACTGCTAGAGCGCTTGGACAAGCGCTTAAGTTGCAAATCGTTTGATCTCAGAAGCTGTCAGACTTTTCAGATTTGCGAATTGCGGGCCACCATCCGTGCATGGTCATCTTGCCGCCAATGGTGTGTTTCAGGCGCATGGGTGAGATGCAGCCACGGCTTTGTACGTACAATTGGATTGGCTGGCGCCCAGGTCGCAGCTGGCCATATCAGTGCAGATATCGGTGTGACACTCAGTTCGTGGTGAGGATAGCAAAATTTCTTTTTGGCAGAGACCAGAGATGCTGGATTTCCCTCTCCAATGTGTTTTGCAAGCAGCCCCATAATGCCTCGTATCCGGCCCTGGTTTACAGGATTGCGAGCGGCCCAAAATCTCCGGCATGCGCCTTGGCCCGAGCTGTCCCTGCAACATGGTGCAGGCTATCCCAGCGGTTTCTCCACACCTAGCATACATTGCACCTCTGACATTACGACTTCAAATGATGCTTCGCATCTGACCTGCATTGGGCTCGTCTCGGGACCACCTGAGCCCACGAATTGTTCGTGCCAAGCTTTTCTGGGTAACAACCGCTTGCGCTCGCGTTTCGCTCGATACTCTGGAGGGTGCAGTTGCCTACAAGTGGCCAAGATCCGACATTAGGCATACCCTCTTTACGGGTGTGTCTTGTCACCCCAACTTATTGAGCAGGCTTGACAGTGAAGAGGCGAACTGTACCGTGCATATTGAATTCATTGTGTATCTATTCAAACGTGGCGTGATGTGCCGCTTTACCAGGGCAGTTTGCCATCACCAATGGCCATTGAAGTACCTGTAGGCAAATGTTGTCATGAGCGAAGCCAGGCTGCAAATCATGTGCCAGAAGCAGACTCGAAGAAAGAAGATCCAAATCATAAAGTTAGCGTTGCGCCTCGAGTTTGCACAAGTGATAGCAGAAGATTGCCGGCAGCAAAGCTACTGCATGGACTCATTCGTTCAGGTTGAGAGTGCTGAACGAACAGGAGTGCATCGAAGGCCAGCGCGTATGGTTTTGCGGCACTTGTACTGATGGAAAGAGGACAGCTGCCTTGAGGTCTTGGTAAAAGGGGTGTGAGGTGCTGTGATAACGTTCCGTTTTGCAGAGCTGGCTTGGGTGCGACTTGTCAGTTCCTGCTTTAGCGGGATTGATGCTGGCTTTGCTGTGAGGTCAGCTTTGGTGGGTCAGAAGCCAAGCCTTTTAGCTACGCAAATTAATATGCATCGTTCCGTGTTTGGTATAGGGCCTGGCCTCTGCTGGGTTTGCAGGGACGTTGTCCTGCAGTCTGGACTGCCCTCCTGTTGCTCTGGACTTCCGCATCGTGCACTTGCCAAGATTTAGAGCCCTATCGGCGGACATAGCAGCATAGCGGACATATCACACTTGAAGTTTGAATGCTTTGATTTCCCCACTCTGCTATATCATTTTCCGTTGAATGTCACGGGAATGCTGAGGGCTCGGAGTGGTTGGAGTTCCTGTCAGGAATGCTTCTTGGCGTTCTCGTTGCCGAGGCCCCCTTGGGTGACCTTCCAACCAACATACGCATGCTTCTACAAGATGGGCTTTACGTGCCTGCCTGAAATACTTGGAGCATTCACTGGAACACCATACATCCAAGTCTTTACAATTTGACATGGCCTCATTTCTGTGTTAGTGGAGGACCGCATTGCAACGGCCGGCAGCTCAGGAAAAATGTGTCACTCGTTTCTACTTGACCACATGGTGAGGTTTGCCAAGCTGGCGAACGAAGCGTTTGGAAGGATGAGGTGCAGCTGTTTAACATGCCTTCAGGTGGGCTTCGCAAAAAGCTTTGCAAGCTATGTCAGGACCCCTTGAACCCAGAGATAGCCTGGGATGCTGTGGAGCAGGACGGTTTTTCAGGTAGTGCCAGGATGGAAAAATGCCTGGAGCTGGGAGGACTTCCTGAACACTGGTCTCATCATTGTTGATGACTTCTTCCGCCTTGATGCGCTTCAGGAGTTGCTGCTTGGCATGCAGTTCTGTCAGAGTCTCTGGGAACAGAGAAGTTGATGTGTGCCTCATGATGTGCAGTTACAGGTGGAGGTACTGCTTGGAGGCTCTGCAGCCTGCCATGACACCCCATCTTTGACTACAGCGTATGAATCTCGCAGGCAACTTGTTTTCGATCCCTCCGCCCTGGCTATTTGGGCGCATTTCCATGGGATGGATGTGTGCCGACCTCAGAACAGTTGAATGCCTTGAACGTTGCCAAGCAAGCGTCTGTCTCAATGCTTTCATGGTTCTGGGTTTCTATGAGTTCACGCAAGGTTCATCCCCTGCTGCGTTGTGCCGCTGAAACGCTGGAGGAGCGGATGTGGGCAGCCCTGCTATTAGCGGAGAACTGTCAGAATCGAGCTTGTTTTGAGTCAAGGCCTAGAGCTTTGCGTCGCCGACCACTTGCAAGGCGAGTCTGTGAATACCGCGTCTGATGCCCTGTCTGCCAGAAGGCTAAGATCTTTGAAAAGACTTGTTGCGTCTGTCGACTGGACCACTCCAAGACTGGGAAAAGGAGTCACCTGAGCCGAGTGGCCAGGGGGTCGAAACTGCAAAGGATTTCCTAGATCAAGATTGACGAAGCTGCAGCGTAGATATCGAGATTCGGCTATCGCTCCCTGAACACGCAGCACAGGGATCTTTACAGGGGTGCTGCCTTTCAGGACAGTCTCTGGGAGTCGCTGTCAGCTAGTGCTGGTCCCTGCTTTTGGAGTACTGGATGTTGTTGAGAGCCGCCGACGCACTTTCTGCAGGCCCTAGAAACCTAGCCTTGGCTGGTGGAGTTGTGTAGGGGGCATGTAAAGTAGGCTTGGGTTTCTGGAGGTGGTGGCTCTTCAAGTACGTGGAGTTGGGGTAGACGCCCTACCTGCACGCAATTCCTTTGCAAATCAGGGTTATCAATGATGCATCATAATTGCCACCTGAAGTGAACGCCAGGAGAAGTTCTGGCATTGGAGTGCATGCTGACGTGCGAAGCTGAATTTGAGTTCCATATCGATGCGGCACTCACGAGTCGTCCAGAACCGCTGTCGGATTTGCGACATCTGGCGCCCAGCTTATAGCCTTCACTCTGTGTTCAGGAGGCTGCTGTCAACGTGAACATTTGGCTAACTCCAATGGAGGCACGTGGACAAGGCAGTGATGCTGAAGACTCTGCTGCAGTGCTCCGGTGCAACAGGGACTGTTTCTGCTTCATCGCATCGGTATGCATCAGTGCAGGCGGTGGCCTGGAGATCTACAAGCTTTCTCCCAAGCCTGCCTTGGATTTTGACGGCCTTCCTTCACGCACTGCGCCGAGGCATGTTCCGAGGAAAGGCACATGGACTGCCGATTTCAACCGTGTAGGCATCCCAGATTAGTTCTCTGCATTATTTGCACCCTGTACACACACTGCCAAGGTGCGCGAGGACTCAGGCCACCATGGCAGCAAAGCAGAGCTCGTCCTGAAGCAACTTGAACTCAATCTTGAGCTCTAAAAGCTGCTGCGGCAGGTGAAGAGGAATGCTTCCGCGATGCCTGCGTCTTACTGTTAGCTGGGCTGCTGCATGTGCTGTGGCGTGGCGACTTGACATTCAGTTTTGCTCATGGCATGGGCAAGAGTGTACACAAAACTTGCTCAGGCTTTGAAGAGGGGCGGGGTGGACTACGTGGCCTACAAGCAAAATCGAGCTTGCATTTTTGTATCTTACCCGGTGAGGTTAGGTGCAATCCAACGGCTTCACACATAGGGCACACGCAGAGCTTAGGTCTCCGACAGATTTCACGCTTCGGAGCCCTTTGAATTCGCCAATGCGAAGGTCTCAGCACGGCAACGCGTCAACTTCGCCAGTCCCAGGAAGGTGTGCAGAAATCGTAGTATGTTCCAAGGATTGTCCCAGAGTGAACCTCACCCTGCTCTTTGGTGCCAGACCCCAAAGACGGCATTTCTGTTTACAGGATGTTCGACGTCCTGACTGTAGACTTTTCAGGACCGAAACGATGCGCGCGGCCTGCAGGCAAGAGGGATTACTCCCAATGTCCTTTTTGCTTGAGGCCCTCAATCAAAATGAGTGTGTCTCGGCAGGCCTTTTCCAACAATGCATTGGAACCGCGAATAGATCAAAAAGAATTTTGGGTAGGATGGCGTAACCCAAAATTTTGCGCAGACGAATTTCGCATGCTGCTACCACAAGTGTTTGCAGCCAGTTACAGCCCAAGTTGAGACATTTGCCAGGAAACATATGCACAGCATGGGCACTCAATTTTCATTGTACGGGCTGCAGTGACCGGACCACCACCAGATCTCCAGCTATGGCCATCATCAGCGCTGCGGATCGCTGGTCTGCTGACAGGCTTGTAGACTTCATAGGTGCGTGATGCCCACACCAATCGCACACCTTGAGCATGTGAGGAACCTAGCGGCGCGTACCTCATCAGTTCGTATCGTTCTGCAGTCATGCCAACTTGTACGTTGTGCACTTCCTTGATGTGCGGGAATGGCACTTTTTTGGCCGCAATCTCTATCGGACAGGATGGACTTTCTGACCAGCAAGCCTGACAGTCATGTACTTGCCTTCCTGGACATCATCCAAGGTGGAGTCAATGTCAACGGAGAAGCAAGACCTGGTCAACAAGGCAACAGAGTGTGCTGTGGGAAGCATTGACCCAAAATCCGTCAGGTCAAGAACATCCAGAAGAGCAGTCCCAATGCGAAGCAGACGCGCATGGCTTGGACTGTTTTGCCCATTTGTTGACACTGCCTGATAGAATCCGACTATGTTCTCAGCTCAGCAGTCCTTTTGGGCTCGCGGTGAAGTTGCCCAGCCTGGATAGAGTAGAGAAGCGTGCAGAGCTGCACGCCGCATTGGCAGTTATGGCGGCCGCAATGGTAGTGACCGCCAGCAATGTCGGAATTCAAAGTTACTATGCATCTTGGCTGATGGAACGGGCATAGGGGACACACAGCGTCATAATTTGAAATCCCGCGGTTCTTGGTGTGCTTGCTCCATAGGACACGAAAATCCAAGAGCTGAGCTCGATCATCAAGGATCGTCGCTGGGCAGCAGGTTGTAAGTCCAGTGCTTAGGTTGTTTTTTGACTCTGTGCCGGGCCGGGGTGGGCCACGTGGCCAGGCAGCAGAACACCTCAGATCACCCTTGCAGTCAACCCAATCCGTGCAACGGCTGCTCTTTCAGGTTTGAAGCAGTCAAAAGCTTGTGGGCCAAGGAAAGAACAACTTGCGCCGTTTAGAGGCGCAGCGCAATGAGTTGAATAGCAAGGTCCGCCAGCTCCGTTTGAACCTTACAACACAAGCTTCTCGCATCTTCTCGCAGGATTTTTTTGTTTAATGCAGTGTCAACTGCCTGAATCGTTTGAGGTGAGGAGCTGCAGCTGCTGCTGGAGCCGGCCTCGAACTGCGGGGAAGTCATCAAAGCCATGGGTAACGCGGTGTCGCACTGGGGGCTTGCAGCAATAGTGTTGGGAACGCTGGAGCAGATAGTGGTCACAGGATGGTGAGTACTGGCCTTTGCTGGGCTTCACCTGCAAGGCACGAAGAAAGTGCTCGTGAAGGTGGGCCAGGACGGCTGGGAAGTTTCATGACAGTCTGCTCTGAAGGGGTCACGCAATTGAGCATGGGCCTCCGACAAAAGAACCATTGTGGAAAAGAAAGCATTCAGAATTTCTTGAACGCACGCCTTCCGAGGAAAGGCGTCAGGATATGCAAGTAGCCATAGAGGGAGCTCACATGCCGTGGTCTGTTGTAGCTTTTGGCATGGTCGGCGGCGGCACAGCTCAACAACTAGATGTTTCAGACGTGCGCAACAGGCCCTCAAAAGAGATGCTTTTGAGCATCTACAAAGCAATGACAATGGAGTGCTACCTGCATGAAGCCTGTGAAAGAAATCAAGCTCACAGCATATAGTTCTGCATGTGTTCTCCCTCTTCCCTATGCGTTGATCGAAGTCGAACATAGCCATTCGTTCACCTCTGCGAAATTCTAGTTCTCGTGTCGGGTCTTGTCATATAAACTTCAATTGTCGGCCAGAAATTATCAGTCTCTAGGAATTAAGTATCGTTGGTCATGCTTGTGGAGGCCGTTGCCATGCTGGGTTCAATTTTCTTTTCACTTTCCACGAGATCTGCAAGTTCCCTTTGCCATGCAAGGCTTCAGACTGTGTGCCACAGTCTGTCAATGAAAAAACACTCGGAACTTGCAAAGAGCTACCGCGCCGGTAGTTTTGGCAGCCTTGAGGAAGGGAAGTATGTAGTGGACATCGACAAGGACATCAAAATTGAGGACTGGACATGTTCTGCAACCTTGGTATGGCACAGCCAGTGAGCGAGTCTGAGCAGATCCATGCAGGACTGCAAAGCAAACACCAGAATTGCCCTCACGAGTGACAGCTATGTCTTGCACAAGATCCTTCCCAGCAAGGCCGAGTCACGAGTCGGCAAGGTCTCCAGCTTTTAGAAGCCGCGTGCCGCCCCCAAACCTGGCAGGTGGATCCTCTTGTGCAGCTCATGAAAGTAGAAAAGACGCCGGACAGCACCTACGAAATGATTGGTGGGGTGGACAAGCAGATCAAGGACTGCCTGTTGCATGCCTTTGAGCTGTCACTGGCTCCCGTAGAAGCACAAGCTGGAGGAGATCAAGGAGGTCATCGAGCTTCCGATCAAACACCCTGAAATCTTTGAGTCCCTAGGCATCTCGCAACCAAAGGCGCGTCCTGAGTCTGAGATTTGATGTTAGAGTAGCTGCTGATGCAAGTAATGTGTTTCATGTATAGTATAGTGGCGCACTGTCTGAGGATCCTCTTGTTTATCTTCACTGTTAGCCTGCCAGGGAGTGCTGCTTTACGGCCCTCCCGGCACGGGCAAGACCCTGCTTGCGCGTGCTGTTGCCCACCACACCAACTGTTGCCGCGTGCTGAGTTACAAAGTCAGTGAAGGATTAGATGCTTGTCTCGCGGGACTGGCTGCTTGTGCCTGAGTGGATGCGCAAGGCTTCATCCGCGTTTCGGGCGGCGAGCTAGTGCAGAAGTACATCGGTGAAGGCGTTGGATGCTGTGAAGGTGTGGGTGATAGGCGGAGCGTTGAAGTTCTGCCATCACAGGTAGCCGTATGGTGCGTGAGCTCTTCGTTATGGCTCGTGAGCACGCGCCCACAATCATCTTCATGGACGAGGACGCGTGAATGGATCCTGCTTTGGAGATCGCTGCCGAAAGCGTTGATGCCTCAGGGTTCATGTGTGGCCTGACAGGTTGACTCCATCGGATCATCTCGAGTCGAGGGTGAATCGGGGGGCGATTCAGAAGTTCAGCGTACGATGCTCGAGCTGCTGAATCAATTAGATGGTTTTGAGGCAGGGCCACGCTCTGGACATTGATGCTGTCGCAGTATACATTTTGGCAAAGTTTGAAGAAGTTGGGCAAGCGTCCAACAGGCTACGACCAACATCAAGGTCATCATGGCCACTTGACTGCCCAAAGATGCCTCAGCATTGGAACAGCCAGAAAAGCCAACATCCTTCGTGCTCGCTCTTGATTGATGATTTCCCAGTCACTGCAAGGCCACTAACCGGATTGACATTCTTGATGATGCTCTTCTCCGACCTGGCCGCATTGATCGCAAGGCGTGAAGATGACTCAACTGAAGGAAACTGGTAACCTGTTTTGTCATAGGTAGAGTTTCCAAATCCCAATGAGGAAGCCCGCATGGAGCTCAGGAAGTCATGCACCATTTTGTGCGTCAAGTTTGGATACATGTCCATCATGTGGTTGCATGCCATTCTGAGTTCCTGACAATGGAATTCCCAAGGCCAAGAGATCTTGAAGATCCACTCCAGGAAGATGAACCTCATGCAACTTGCAACAACTCTAAAGTCTTCAGGTCAACCTGCTCATCATTTGCAAAGAATTGCTTGGCAGATGCAGCTGTGACAAGGCGTGGCATTGACCTAAAGAAGATTGCAACCGGCATGAATGGAGCCAGCGGGGCAGAGAGCAAGGCAGTCTGCACAGAGGCCGACATTTCCTGATCCTGGAATAGCCACAGAATCTAGCAAACGTCAAATGTGTCGGGCCAAATCTGAGAAGGCCGTGTTCTAGCAGGTATGGTTGTGTGTCCTTGGCAAGATGCTTGACCGCTTATGGAATGTTTTAGCCAACTTTAGGATAGCTCAGAAGCGCATCAGTTGCAACTGAGTGTGTTGTCAGATGTTGCCCTTGGAGGCTGGGATGTTTGCCTTGCGGGAACGGCGGCAGCACGTGACGCAGGAAGACTTTGAGATGGCTGTCTCGAAGGTCATGAAGAGCTTTAGAGTCATACAGTATGTTTTCTTTTGGCCAGCCTTGGCAGACCATGTCACAGGGGAAATTGACTGGCTCAGGAAAGATTCGGACAAGAATATGAGCTTGATGCAGTTGATGAGGTGACTCACCTTCTGACTGCAGTGATTTTTTGTTCTTGCTGCAACTGGAAGCCAGAGGATGTCTGTGATCCTTGCCAGGTAGACATGTCCACAGCGACAGCAACGTGCTGGCTGACAATTCGAAGGTCTAGCTTTGTTCAGGCCTGCAGCAAACGAGTCTCACCACCCAAGCCGGCAAAGACACGTGGGCTTCCTGTCAGTAAGGTTGTTGGTGAACCATGTTGTTTTTTCAGTCGACTGCGCTTTGCTGGGCAGCTAGCAGAACAGCAGTGGTGGGACAAGAACGTCACAGCCTCCTCACCATGTGCGCAGTAGGAAAAGAAGTGGTGTCCGTGGTGTCCCAATGAGTTTTGTTGCTGTGGCACGGCTTGCCTTCACCGCTGGCATGATTCCTCACATTGCCCAGTTGGTACAACTTCTGCGAGATGAACGGCGTCAAGCTGAGCTTCTCTTGTGCGGACGGCTTTTTGCGGCTGGCGGCTTGAAAAAGAAAACGGCACAGGCGGTGGGAACTACGACCCCGCTCGCCTCTGGCTCAGTTGAAGACACATGTTTTGAGGTTCAAGGCCAACGTTGACTTGTTCTTTTTTGTTGCTCCAGGTCACGACGTTACGTTTCTGCAGTCCTTTCTCGACATGGCTGAAAAGACAGGCCTGAAACGGATGCCAAGTTGCTTGTTTGCCGGCAGCCTTCTTATCCAAGGCCAGGGTCAGGAGGAGGTGCCGATTTCCAACAAGATTTTTGTTCGAGTCTGAGTCATTGAGTTCAGTGGTTGAATCTGGTTGAATCCTGAGGCAAAGCCTAAGGCAGGCTTCTTGCTTATCACTCTTAGGTCGGAGGCCTGGAGAAGACAGCAACAGAGGATGCAGTTCCTGGGCCTGACAGCGCATAATCTATGACTGCGAAGCGCGTCCCCTATGGCAACGTGCACATGTGCTATACCACAGGTGAAGACGTTCTTCAGCACCTTCGGTCCAGTGACGCTTGTTGAGGCCCTAGGCGATTTGAAAAAAGGTGGGAGACCTCACACAGCTCCGAAATAGAGCTGTCTGAGGTGGAAATGAAGTATGACCTTAATGGCTCGGGCCAATGCCGGGGATTTGCTTTCGTCAGCTTTGCCGATGAGGCCCGAGCTGCATGAGTACAACTATGTACTGGGGTTGAATGGTATAGACATGCAGGTAGCTGTGATGATATACCGACATGTGTGTCTTGGGTAAGAAGTCAACCATGTGGATGATTATCTTGGAAGGGTCCCTGCTTTGAGTAGCACAAGTTGCTGGTGTCAGTGTGATTTTTTGAGGATGTAGAATCCAATATGCCTCGGTGGAGATGGCTTGCACATAGCTGGCATAACTTCCGACCAGGCTACATCACGATTGGCTGTGGCCCTGGTGGATTTTGAGTTGATTCCCGTGCCGCCATGTCTCGCGGTCTGCCTGGGACACTAATCTTGCCTCGGTGGCCTCAGATCCTGGACAACAAAGCCGGTGTGATCATGAACGGCAAGCCTCTGGACTGCAAGCCGGCAAGAGACAGGCCCGGTGCCAAGCATCTTGAGCGGATTCACAAAGTTTGCGACGCATCATGTACTTGTCCATCCAGGGTCCCGGGTGGTGGCAAGGGCGCCTCACTCTCAGCAGATCTGTACTCTGCCAGAAGTGGCATCCTGCAGAGAATTACCAGTTGAGGCTGGTGAGACGTGAATGCTTGAGCAGACATTTTGGCTCTACTCGGCTTGAAGGTGGCTGTTGTTGCGTGGCAAGCGCGTGTTGGCATGTTGCCAACTGCTGACATCTGCTGACTGCATGGCATTGGTGTAGTCATGTGTAGTCCTTCAATCTTGCAACTGTCCCCGGCAACATGTGAGTCTAGAGGGTTCGCTGCAATACAGGGTTCAAGCGACTCGAACCTGAAATGAAAACATACCTCCATTATACGTCCTGCAGTCACTGTAGTCCACATTGGAAGCTCAGTCTCCAAGCGGCGACCTCACCACTGAGAAATTCCTAGCCAGGCAAATTGGACACTGGGTGGTTGTGAGTCCGGTTGTTTCGCATGCTCCCTTCGGCTTTCTTTCCGCATGGTCATTTGCTTTTGCCTTCTAAGTTACGATGCAATGTATCACAGCGCGCTTCAAAGCTGTTCCGTATGCGCATGAGTCAAAGATCATGGGTCGCAGCATGTCACAGCGAGAGCTGCAGCTTCCAGCGCCCTTGTAAGTCTGGTCAGTGCGTCATTTTTGCGCAGGTTTCACACTGCAGAATCATCAGGTACACTTGGAGGGTACAGGTGTCCAGGCCCTATCACGATCAGGTAGGCCTTACCATAGCAACAACGCTCCAATCACATTTTGCCTTACCTGGGACTGGACAGAAACGGCCCCTGTGCAGAAAAAGATCACCAAAATGAGAACATATGATAGCAAAGCGATAGGAAAACGATGAAAAGGAGCACAGGAGACCCACATTTATGAACCAAGGCCCTTCGGAAGTAAAACGCTTAATGCTTGTTTGTGTCCCTTTCACAGGTCAGGCCATAAAGCCCGTAGACCCTAGGTGATACAACTAGAGCTCCGTACCCCTGGCCTGCTTATGGTCTACTAGCTTGACTAGCTGGGCTAGTGGAGTTATGCTGTTGACGTGAGACGGCAACAGTAAAGTGACACGACACCAGGAAGCTTTGCTAGAAGATGTTCCGCAAGGTTTTCGACGCAGCTCAATTACGAGGAGATGTTATCGTGTTTGGGGTATGGATGCACAAAGGAAACAAAGCTATTCCGGAGGAGGCCTTGCGCAAGGGACTGGCTTGTATCTTCCAGCTGTGAGCTTCTTCTATCCATCGCGGGGTTTTCCATGGATTTCTTGTGGTGCATAAAGCCCGACGAGGCTCTTGAGTTGCCAGTGGGGAATCTTTGCTTGTTGTTCTTCTTGCCCTGCAGTTATTGCTTGGCATTTCATGCTAAAACATCGCTCAGGTCATTCCCCTAAAGCTGGCAGCCCTAGCTGCTCACTGCACCTGCACCAAGGACTGGGGTTGGGGAATGTCGCAACCTCAGCTCTATGTTGCGCGACTTTTTCACATGCTGTTCTTTTCGACAGGGGTGGTGGCAAGTCGTGGGGCAAGGCAGAACCCTGCATCTTTGCTTGCCTTTTTGCAGACTCTTGTAGACTCTGTCCATTAATCGCGCTGTTTGACAGCAAATTTGACAGCAAGCTTACGTCCCACAGGGCGGCGGCTTCCCGCAAATGATGATGGCAATGATGGCAATGACCATGAAAGGCAAAGGAGGCAGGGATTTCCGATCGCTGGTCCCAACCGGCATGGTTTCCTACATGGAGTGAGGTAAGGGCAAAGGCTTCGTTGCTGCCTCAGACTATCCACAGTCACGCTGTATACAGTCAGGCCAAAGAGCCTTGCAATGCGTGATTGCCAAAAGCTCTGAATCCAAGGGTGGAGGCTGGGGTAAAGGCGGAGGTGGAGGCCTGCTGCAAGATGCTACGCTCACCTCTGCAAAGGTACCCATGCCGTCAAGCGAGTCATCTGAGTAGTTGAACGTGCAGCCTGTGCTTGCTGAAGCACAGGAAAGGCTTGTCCCTTAAACTGAGTAGTATTGTAATTGTAACGCTAACTGTAAGGTGTCAACATGTTGCATCTAATTGCTAGAAAGCACGTATGCTTTATGTTCTGTGTTCAGCTATGTCGTCGTACATCCACGGTTCCTCATGTTTTGCGCTGCACTTCCGGAGGTAATCTCTGGCTGGCGAGCTCTGAGTCAGTCTTCGTTGGCGGCCTGCCGCGAACCTGTACCGAGGCGTTCGGCAGAGAGTGAGGGAAGCGGATTCCTTGCAGTGTGGCATTCACATGACGAGAGCACATTAAATCTTTCCTTGCAAGCCTTGGCAGAGGATCAGCTTCGAACCCACTTCTCCTCGTTCGGCCCCGTGCCGGCTTGAGCATTACCCAGGGCAGATGATGTCGTGCTTGTCGTGCTTGTCGTGCTTCGAACTAGATCATAAAGCCAGGGAGAGACACACACGGAACAAGATTTATTGAGAGACAGACAGAAAAATACTCTGAGAACGGGATGGGGGTTAAAACAATATAAGCATCAACAAACACCTTTCAAGCATCAGAAAGAAGCTTTCTAAGCGTCAAAAGAAAACTAATGCCCTATCTCCTGGGGAGTACACCAATCCGGAATGTTTTCACAAAAGCTCCCTGGAGGGAGCTTCGTTTATCACCTCACGAAGTGAGCCTGGGAGGGGTGTGGGGGGGAGGGGGGGTGGGCATTTTGCCTGGTGTTTTGAGCTGCCCTGCGGTACAGGCTGGAAAATCTTGAGGATCTTGGGGGGATTTTGGTTGATTTTGGAGGGATCTTGGGGGGTGTTTTTTCAGGAGGCTTTCCGTAGGAGGGTTGCAGTTCTTTTCAGGGGAAGGGAGGGCTGGGCTGCGTGCTCTTCTGGTTGTAGACCGTCCGTCTCTTCACGTCCTGTGTCACCAGTCCCGACCACTATTGAGCTTTCTTCCCAGCCCGTGGCTCTCAAGTTTGGGCTTCGCACCTACACCCTGGCGGGAGGAGAGCAGGCTGGCAGGCAGGAAGGAAGGCATGCTCATCATCTTTCATCAGGTTTCACCAGCTTTGATAAAGCTCATCATTTTCATCATGTTAATCATAATTTTCATGATGTTATATGAGTTGCTTCATGATTTTTATGATTTTCTTGTTTTTCATGATGGTTATGATGCTTCATGATTTTGCATGAATTTCATCAGTTTTCATATTTTGTATCATTCTTCATACCATCTTGACAACTTTGAAAATGGTTCATGATTTTTCATGATTTTCATTTTTCAATGATCGTTCTTAAGTTTTCCTCAATCTGCATAAAACATCATGTTTTCCATCATTTTCATCCTTCTGATCATGTTCATCTGCTTCTCATCATTAATCAAATCACACTGCCAAATCAAAGCGGCGGAAGGAGCCACATGTTCTAATCTTTGTCCAGGTTTTGCAACTGGGGGGGCTGCGCCCCCCCCCCTCTCCCCCTCCCCCTCTCCCTCCCCAACCCCTACACAAAAAAAAGAAAAAAAAACGGCTGTTATTTTCAAGCCACATTCACGCAAGCAGTTGTCATCATGTTCCCCTTCTTGACCATGATGTCATCAGTTTCCTTGTTTTCATCATCTTCATTATTGTTTGTCCAATTTTTCGACATGTTCATCTATTTCCAAAATTTTTCATGATATTTCATGATTTCAACGACTATTTTGTTGCCATCATTGTTATCAGCATTTATATTTCTGATGTTTTTTCATACTTTTCATGATTTTTCTATCATTATTCATGATTTTCATCATTTTTCATTGATTATCTTTTTGGTTTATCATGTTTTGTTTTTCATTAATTTCATGACGAAATCATCAGTCTGCATTATTTTCTGATTTTTAATGTTTTCAATTTTTCTGAACATTTTTTGTAAGTATTTTCCACTATTTATCATCATTTCCTAATTCTCCATGCTTGTGTCATGTTGTTTATCTTCCATTAACCACGTAGGTGTCCCGAGCCATTTCTGTCCACGCGCAGCATGGCGTATGACTGACTGATTGACTGACTGACTCCTACCAGTACTGCTGCTCTTATTATTTCTGTATTATTGCTGCTACTACTACTGCTATCAGCTCTTGCCAACATCACTTTCGGGCAGCTTCCACCAACCACCGGGGGGAGCTTGGCGCAGTCCAAGGAGACACTCTGTTGACTGTGTGCTCATCCCACACCCAGCATGCTGCAAACCACATGGCGCTCATCATCCATATTTCACTTCCTTGCCTCTCCTGGTTGGGTGTGGTCTGCTGCACACCCTCCAGCGGCCAAAGCTTCCGGAAAAGGGGAGCTGAGCACAATGAGAATGCACCTGCTTTGCCGTCAGAGAAGCCTGCACCTCACTCAGACCTGCTTGGCTTGAGATTTTGCCTAGTGGAGATGGGACAGGTGATTGATGGTATCCTGTAGCATTCCCCGATGCCCTGGCAATGGACTGTAAGGTTGTGAATGTGGACATGGGAATGGACCCTGCCACAATGGCGCAGCAGCCTCATTTTCTTTGAATCTGGGACATTTGTAGCTGTGATGTGGCCTGCCTCGAAGCCGGCCGTATCATGTTGTCAGCAACTGTGACTGGCGAGTGTGACTGGCGAAAGTTGACCAGGTTTCGCGGATTTGCCTTCGTGTCCTTCGTGAGCAAAGAAATTGCTCAGGCGTGCCTTCCAATCATGTTGCCTTCAGCTTCACGAAATTGCTTAGATGCCTTCAGCGGCGGGATACTGCAGGCTGTTCTCGACAACTATGCTGACAACTATTTCATGGGCCACTGGCCTCATCAGTGGTAGGGGTTATGCTTGATGTGATCGACAATCTGTTTCCTCTTGAGATTCGTGCGCATTCTTGACATAGTGAATTAGCATCTTTACTTGCTGTTGTCGTTCTGACAGCTTGTCACAGATGCCAAGCAAGGTAAGTGGATTGACTGCAAATCAGCTGATCTAAGCAAAATGCAGCAGCTGCCTTAGTTGGTCTCGAAGTGGACAAGCAAAAGTCATGGGCTGTGTGCACTTCTAAGGTCACTCCGGTCCGTGCCTTATCAGTACAGCGTTTGCGGTTGTTGCCCAAAGTGTTCAGCTGGGTACGATGCTGTCTTGCTGCACTTGCAGACTTGTTCAAAAAAGTGTGGCTACGGCTGTGGACCATCATCTCAAACAGCTTAATCGCTACCGCGAGTGCCGGGTAGCTTCCGTAACTGCAGGAGATGCACAGTCGTGGCAAAGTAGGAGTTTGTGCATTCAGTGCGGCCTTTGCTTCGAATTTTTGAGCAAACACGGCTAGGACAGCTAGGTGCAACGGACTAACAGTCAAGCCAGGCCCCCAAGCTAAAATGAGAAAACCCTATCCGTCGGGGAGGTGGGAGAGGTAGGGACCAGGGAGGAACTACTCCTTTGTTGGTGATCCTAGATCTAAATGCCCCAGGCCTCCAGCCCCGGATGAAGCCCTGGGGGCAGTGAGGAGAGCAAGAGCACGAACAGGCCAGTAGTGGTGTTTCTACGGACTCAGGTCGCAAAACAGTGCTGCCGCAGGCCAACCTGTAATGATGCAGGCGCTTCTTTGAGCTTTCAAAGTGATCTCAATACAGGTTTGGAATCTCGTTGGGTTTGGTTTCAACACTGGAGCTTGTGATTATGCAGCTACAAACAGCTGGGATTTTGAGGTGCCTGGGCTTTGATGTGGGAGTTGTGGATCACTTTACTGTACAATAGGGTGGGCAGGTCAGGGGCTGGCATCGGACAACTCTTATCATGTCCCCAAGCTGCCTGCACGACCATCTCTGTCCTTGCCTTTTGACCCATTTTTGGGTCGATCCTTTCGTGAGCAAGGTCATTTGGGTGGGCTTGGTGCTTTTGCAGGGTATAGGCGCGCAGGCAATCCAGGTGGCCTGTTGAGGGTGCAAGTCAATGTAGTTGGTTGTGTTGCTTTCCTACACTTCTACATACTTCCCAGGCTCACCTGTATGCAAATTTACCATCAAGGCTTGAGTTCTGTATGCTAGCGGTCCGTGCTTCTTTTTACGGCACAGGAATATCGGCGACCATCCAATGTAGCAGGATTTTCAGAACAGGTCAGCAGGTTCCCGTCCTAAGCCCTGGATGGAAATCTGATAGAATTGGTGAACCTGGTCAGGCAGGCTCGGTTAGAGCAGGCCCTTACTGAGATGGTCGAAGCCTTCGAAGTCTTGGTGTGAAGAGATGTGTGGTTTCCATGTCCGGATGGTCGTGCCTCTGAGCCAGACTGCCAGACACGCCCTTCCACGCCCTTCCTGATTTTTGGTGTTTCTGAGCTCAATGCTTTTCCTAGCCATTGATAGGAAGGCGTGCCGTGCACTGGCACGTTGGAGTGGCACGGTCAAGGCCCGGACCCGTAGGCATAGCCTCTCAGGAGTCCAGCTGGGCTCAATGCTCCGGCTCACGGGATTATGAGACGTTGCAAAAAAATCTTTGAGATGTGACACATGATGACTGTAGGTTCATCTCGGGTGACATCTCATTGCTAACAGTCATCATCGAAATCGATAGGCTGCTCGGCTCAAGCGCCAGGCTTAGGCTTTCCAAACAAGAAATACTGTACTGGAAAAACTGCAGCGGAAGCAAGCAGTGCAACAAGTAGTCAGTCATAAGTCGTACGTAGTCATCCCCAGGGCTGTTCGATACCATCGCCAGCAACTTCTTTGTGCATTTGCTACAACTGAAAAAGGCGCACATCCAAGCAGTGCCAACCAACATCTATCCTTCCATGGCTTCAGGATGCCGGGCATTCCAGTTCGTCTTCATCGTTTTTAATCTAGCATGCCTGGTAAAGGCTTCCAACATGTCGGCCGCTTCTCGCTCAAGGTCACGTTCACGGCTTGCATCCCAATGACTCGTCAAGGAGTGGCGTCTATCAAAAATGACGCGTGCAGCATCGGGTCATTATTTGCATGAGATCAAAGGAGGCCGGCACTAGCATCCTTGTTGTCTGATTTAGGTCCGTCAAGCATGGCCGCGAAGCTGAGAGCAAAGCAGAGAAGCTCCACCCTCGAATTCTGAACCATGTCTTGCACATCTTTTTTGAAGCGCCGTGCCCTTCGCAGCCAAGGTCCCGCGGCAGGGAAGCTGCACGTCCCAAGGACGATCGTTTAGGCCTGCGGTTGCGAAAGCAGACGATTCAGCAGTGCACAAGATCATGTCAGATCTTTAGCGTGCCCCGGAAGACATGAGATGCCTTGGGTGTCTCCTAGTTTTCGTTTGCCGGTGGTTGGAGTTGGGACTGCGTGTCAGGCCACCGCAGCGAGCGGCGCGGCAAGCGAAGGCGAGGCGAGAGGCGACGGCGTGGCCGCAGCCGAGGCGTCTGGAACCTTTTTTTTGTGTTTTGTGTGGAAGAGCCAAGCTCTTCCCATTTGCAGGCCGCGGTCGTCGCCGCTACCACAAAGGCCACCGCCGTCGCCATGGCCGGCGGCGCAGCCGCGAGCGACGAGGTCTGCTGAAACGCATCAATGTCATCTCTGACAGGCAGGGAACCATGTATACTGCTGTGCTTGGCATGATTCAGGCCGGAGACGCCGCGATGCACACAAGAGCCGACGTAGGAGGCGGAAGGCTGTGCCAAATTCTGAGACGACCAGAGAATGCAAAGTCCGACAGCGAGCCACTTTAATTTTAGCGCATTTGGAACTGACAACGGGCCACTCGATTTGAATGAATGATTGGAACAGTTTGAGGTCAGCAGACCGTGACTCAGAGGACGAATCCAAGGAGGCTCGCAGATGTTTGTGGCAAACCGCTGGACAAGACGAAGTATGCAGTTTGGCTCAGCTGCTGATGACCCCTGAGAGAGCACAGCTTCAGGGCATATGTATATATACATAGAGTAGAGCATGTCTCTGCTGATCATTGAGTCCTATCTACTTGTCCTGTTGTTCAGCTCCTGCCGACAAGGCATCGCAGCAAGAGGACGAAGAAGAAGAAGAGGATGCTAGTGCTGAGGATTCCGAGGACGGTGGCAGACGCTAGCGCATAGTGGAGTGCTACTGTACTCTCGCTTCACGCTTCCCCAAATCGACTCGAGCTGGAGCCTCTTGACATGTGGGCCACTTGCTCGCTTGCGGAGCCTCCTCACACTTCGGATCGCTACCACTAGCGTCGAGCTTCAACGCTTTATTCTGTTATTCTTACTCTAGCAGAGTATGCTAAGCTAAGATTTAAGGGTGTTACAATTTCTGTTGCGCGAAGTGTGCTCCATCCGAAGCTTAAAGGATCAGCTGCCAGGCGGTTCAATTAGTCTTTTGCCGCATTCCACCTCTGGCCAATGATTGACATGTCAGTTCCGCTACGAGCCACAACTCCACTGCGTGGCCTTTTTGAGTGTGGGGCGACTCCACCCCAACGCGCCTCCTACTCTAAGGGAAAAGGTGTAAATGATTTGCATTGATTCTTTTTTCAGTCAGGAAAGGACGTTCTCAGCTCGCTCCCGCAGCATCAATTTCCCAAAACATACTGTAGGTGTGAACCCATCCCTAGGACACAATGCAGCTTGTCGTCGTCTCAATCCAATCATGTGCAAGTGGGGCAGGATGCACCCGCAATGCCCTAGTATCCTGTCTCCCAGATATGCAGGTGGCAGGTGCCATCAGGCGCCTTTACATCTATCCATCTCGTCGGATGTGGGTGCTGCAGAACACAGCCCGTCTGCCATATACTTCCATCATTTGTCTGAGAAATCAAGTGCTATAGGTATATTTATATATATATAATATTCATCGCAATCAAATAGTTTTATCGGGCGACTGCCCCTTTCCAACCCGGCCCCAAGTAGCCCCCATGCACCCCTTCCCCCACAGCTCTTCTTTTGAAGAGTTGCTGGTCGGCAAGCCTCACAGTACTGAAAGTGGTAGGTAACGCGAACTATTCGACTGCAACTGCAAGCAGCTGGATTCGCTAGTTGGTCAGGTCTAGCCTTTGCGCGCCACTATCCTGCAATAAAGTTTTCGAGAAGTTTGCAGAAGGCATGCTCACCAAAATGGCTCTTAGGCTCATAGGACATGCCAACTTGTTCCAAGTGATGGTCGCAGCATTTGCCAACTGTTTGCCAGGAGGCTTCCGAGGAGGCATCTGAAAATACGAAGGAGTCAGCGGAACAGGCGGACCTGCTTGCCGAGCGAGCTGAGCCCCGCATTTCTTTGGGATGTAAGAAACGAACCGTCCAAGAGTGCAGTTGTATCTGAGCGCGATTTCCCTTCACGTGATGCACCGCAAGGTGCCAATGATGGGCCGCGTTTGCTTCTCTGCATTTGAGTTTGGCAGTTCCCGATCAGTTTTACATGACAGTTTGGGGGTCCCTGTGGGCAGTGACGGTGACATTTAATACGCCATCGTGAGAGATTGACTAAGTGTGTCGGAAGTGGAGAGAGAAGACAGCTGGTGAGCACCCAGCAAAAAAAATAAGGAGCTTGGCAAGCAAGACTAGAGGAGGCTGTCGAGCAGTGAAGATTGAATAGCGGGCGTGCGCGATAAAATTGCGCAAGAATAAAAAATGCACCTCAATGAATGCAAATATGCAGCCCGTTCAAAGGTCAACAACACTTTTTTTTTGTGCCACACTGCAAGAGATCCTGTTGACATCTGCGCTATCAGTACCACCACAGCTCGTTTCCATATCCGCATCCCCTGATCCTGATTGCCAGTGTTGTTGCCAGGCAAAGGATCATGATGATGCCAGAGAAGCGCAGGCAGCGATTGAAAAGGCTGAGGCGGAAGTGCAGGCACATGGCAGCTCAGCACTTGGACATGCGTTTCTACGCGGATGCAGTAACCTTCCCTGGTACTTGCGGCGTCTGCTTCCGCACCCCGTATGGTACCAGTTTCACGATTGACTAGTCTACGGAGCCGGGACTCACGTCCAGTTGCTGCCGCTTGTCAGGCAGCTCAGAAGCTTGCAGCAGAAGCGGAGATGAAGCTGCTGGCTGCTGAAGCGCAAGTGCCTGCCTTACTGTCCGATGACGTGGACCTCCAGTGCCACAGATGAATGTCAGCTTGTGCAGCCGGCACGAGCTCAGATTCATGCCGAATCTGTGAAGTACTTTTACTTGTTTGTCGTGCTTGTTGTCCGTTAGCGGAGGCTGGCCAGATTGTTTCGAAGCAGGCTTTCGGCTTTCCCTTGAAAATGTGTGTGCGAGGTTTGCAGGGCTTGCTTCAGGTGTTGGAGGCTGGGCTTCAAGCACGCCTTGATCTGGAAGAGCAGCTGCGGACCTGGCAAAGAGCTCACGCCAGCAGTGTCTTGCAGTGAAGTGATTGGACCTCAGGCTGAAGACAGTCAAGGAGGACTTCGAGCTGGCTCGTCAGGAGGCGCTGCAAAAGGCCCGAGAAGACTTGGAGGCGCCCAGCGCCCGCAAAAAACGTTACAATCCTGCGTTTTTGCCTATGGCATGCCAAAAGCAGGCCGTCAAAGAGAGAAAGCTTCAGGAAGTGCAGCGGCGGTTTGAGGAAGACATGAAAAAGGCAGCTTGAAGATTGTTGAAGCTGTGCCTGAGCCGAATGCATCCGAATTCCGAATGCCAGAGGCCGAAGAAACCATAGAAAAGGACCTTGCAAAGGCCGTTGTTGGTACAGCAGCTCACCCTCTGCAAAAAGAGCCCAGCTGAGGCCATGGCAGATGAAGAAAACAGGCTGAAAGAGCAGTCGGCAGCAAATGTGGCCAAGGTGGCCCGCGCCGATGAGGACACCCAAGAGTGCTGACCTCCCTGAACCTGAGGCTCAGCAAGATGCCTTGGAGCAGGCACCGGGGCCTGCATTTAAGTGTGCTTGGGCCTCTCCTTCTTGGGGCCGAGTCGCCACTTGCCGCTTTTGTTGGAAGCTTGCCAGCTGAGTTGTGAAGGCAACGCCGAAGGCTGAGAAGCAAGCCAAGGAAGCGGCGCAACAGAGGCGCGTGCCCATTTGACGAGCGGGGACGTGAGGGAATCGCACTTGCAGATGGGTTTTGAAGAGACGTTTGCATGGACCATTTTGGCGATCCTCCCATGCCGCTAGACCCATCGCCGCCCAAGTTGCCTTGGTGTCTCTGGTCTTGTTACTTGATATGGATGAGAAACTTATGACATTATGAGCGCGGAGGTAGCCACAAACACATGGTTTGTTCTTCGCTCAGCGTTTTCCCTTTGATGTTGAATATGCAGCTGACACATTGTAGGAGGTTTATGACCCGGCCGTCCTTCCTAAACTGCCCTTAGACGTGTGAATGCAAGCCCAGCGTAAGATGCTACTGAAGCTTTATGTTGCCCGCCAAGACCACTCCATACACTCGGTAGTTTTCTGTTCTGTTTGTAGGGCTAGGACATGCTGCAACTTCACCCAGAATAGGTGCAGAAGTATGCAGTTCCCCTACTGGATAGAGCAGGCGACCAAAATACACGACCCCCACGGCTGGGCGGATCATGTGGTCCCTGAACCCTAGACCATGATTCCTAAACCCTAGCCCGTGCCGGAAGCCCAAACCCAGAGACTTCACGAGTGTCTTTGGATGCTTCTGCTGAGACGAATCGCCAAGTCGTAGCAGAAGTCACAAGAGATCCCCTGGAGATGTCACAAGTAATCCCGTCCCCACTTTTGAGCCCAGCTTTCACAAGAGAAGTGTGCATCCAGTGCAGCTAATGTGGGGCTCCGGATAACGTCAAACTTTTCTGACAACCTCATGGCAAGTGAAGTGCTCTGCAAGGCTGGCTGAAGCAGAGGCTCGGACAGATCATTGCTTTGACGCCCTTCGTGCAGCTCCGGATTCACGTTATGACTCCGTTATGACACATTGTTTTAGCACTAGCAGTCACTAGCACGTTAATCAGCTCCAAGATGCTGATGGTCGCAGATGTGGGCAGTGCAGATCATAGTGACTTAGTGCCTCTAGGCCAAGCTGGAGGCTGCACGGCAGAGTGTCGAGGTGAACGGAGAGGCATCAGCTGGGATCATGTGGGCATTAATGAGCATTGCTTTGATCAAGTTCCCGCCTCACCTAACAGTCTATCTCTAGTTTGCCAGGCGAAAGAAGATGTGGAGGTGGAAGCTGAAGAGGAGACCAAAGTTTGCAGATCAGATTGCAACTCCACCCATCCCCTTGTTCTTTCAGTGTCTCGAACATGACCTTTGCACAAAGCTGCATTGTTGAGGCAAGTCGGAAGCGCAAAGGCTGGCAACTTGGCAGCTCCTGCAAGCAACACGAACTCCGGTGAGTCGATCTGTCGATCTGTTTGCAGCTGCAGGCTCAGACACATCGGATTATTCATACTCCGCTGACGAAGGCGAAGCCTGAGACAATATCGCGGCAGGATTGCGCAGGCTGCAAAATGGTCTGTTGAGCGAGCCAGTGACAAGCCTGGTTCAATAAGCTGGTCGGGCATGATTCGGTTTCAGACTCGAACAGCATGAGATGAATAACATGACTAGGTAAGTCGGCAACTCGTAAATTTTGTGTTTCAAGGACAGGCCGACCATCCCGGAGAGTTAGCGAGTCAGCATCCTGCAGCCGAGCAGTATGCCACAATCGACACGTAACCAGCGCCAATCTTGCTCGAAGGGGCAAAAGCAGCACAAGGACGACTGACAAGTGGTGAGTTTCAATAGAACATAGTTTTGCTTGCTACTCCTCACACCACACTTGCCACCTTAGACATGTGCTGCGCCATGAGCAACTGCTTCAGAGTTCTCTCCACAGCTCGGCAGAAACAACCATTAAGATACTGGAACCGAGAAGTCAAAGGCAAACATAGCTGTCAGCAGCATCAAAACCCATGCCTTCGCTGTTCTCAGACAACCCGTCGTTGACCTAGAGCGAGCGGAACACAAAGTGCTGATAGATCCCATGTCATCATCAGATCCAGACCTCCTGTCTGAGGATTCCTGTCTCAGAGCTGCATCCAGCAGCCATGGCCCTGGCGATCATCATAGGCTCGAGCTGATTTGCTCCCTTGCGTTAACACTTTTCGCAGCTTTGCAGCTGGCTGGAAGCACCTAGTGAAGTGTTCGGCTGCTGGAGCTCGCCAGGCTTAAGTCTGGCGTGCATCGCGTACCAGTGTGTCGCGAAGCCAATCCTGGATGAGCAGGTCCTTCGCAGTCGACGGGTTGGGTGTCAGACTCTGCTGTTGCTCCGTTGCATAGCCTGGACAACTAGACGGAACTACGAAGATATGCAGGATTTCAAGATCAAGAAGGCCCGCATTGAAGCAAGGAAAGCCAGTGGCAAAAAGAAGTGAGGTGAATTCGCTGAAGCAGCTCGTGTAAGAAACTCCTAGTCGACAACCTAGCTCTGGCAGTCCAAGAGGCTTACACAGAAGTGAGCCTGCACCAAGCAGAGCTCAAGAATTTGACTCGATGGCAGACGGGCCAAAGTCGAGTCCTTGGGCAATTGCCCGGACCTGCCCATGAAGGGGTTGAGCAGCATAACAGGAGGCAATCAGCAGGAGCACAATGTCGCATGCACGCTGGAGCTCTTGTTCGCTTCGCTCAGCTCGCAATCAACTTTGTGTTCAAGGCTTGGCTCATGCTGCTAGGATTTCTGGCTTCCCAGGTCACTGAGCGGCTTCATTTACATGTCTAGACTACAGACGGTGTAGAACACCCAGAATCCGACAGTGCAACGATTTGCTGGTGAAGACATACAGAGCCTCATGGAGTTGAGGCATCTTGGAGTTGGTTCTAAACTTGCGTCACGCATTTGGAGATACCCGCGGCTCGCAGCTGTCAGGAACTGCTGTGCCAAGAGCTTTCCATGGGAAACAAGCTCAAGGCTGGAGAGTGCTGTCCATGAAAAAAAGCTATTCGGCAACTCAAGAGAAGAAGGCAGAGACAGACAGAAAGAAACGCAAAGCACACATAAATGCAAACATACAAATGTCTACACCTGTATATGCGTACATAGATACAAATCCGTTCCATATGCGCATCTGTATGTGTACGCCTTGAGTCAAAGCTGAGGATTTTAGGAATGCTTGTGTGACATTTGGACAGACTAATGACCTGCAGCATGGACATCAGTTTAACAGTAGGGGGTACGGCCTTGTGATGCTACCTTACCTAACGAAGCTGCGCATCGGAGAGGGAAGCATCCATTGGCCATGTGTACCTGCTTGTGCAGAGTGGCAGCCAGCTCTTACAGTTTTCCAAATGTGAAGTTACGTTGGATCTTCTTCACTCCGCGCGCATGTGCTTGTGTATTGGTTACCAAACCAAGTGCTGATCCATCTGTCTAAATTGTTTGCTTACTACTCCTTCCAAAGCATTCGTACGGCACTTGTATGTGCTTGAGATTTTCAGCATGCTGCAGTGGTGGCCGTCAACTGGCCTTCCTCTGGTCCCGAACTTGATTGCTCATATCCTAAACCACCCCAAAGCGGTAAATGTAGACGGGTTTCTCCCTTGCAGGGGCATACAGCAGAGGATATGCGTAGCAGTCCTGCAGTTGTCAATTCGCATTCGTTTTGCAGCCACAGAATCCAATGCATGCAGGATGCGAAATCTTGTAACAGTCAGATCGACATGGTGCGCGCGCCTGCTGCAGCTTCAAGAGTGCAGGAAGTAAGGAATCACAGAGGAAGGTGGTTGTGCACTCCTAATTGGTACAGAAGTCAACACTACGCAGTTCCGCATATGTAGCTTCTTCACATCCTCTTGCTCCGGCTGCACTTCTACACCTTGACTCCACGCAAAGTGCCCTGCCCATGTACCCCCAACATAGAGATTTACTGTTTTGCCACGCTTGCACCTCTTTACTGAATTGATTTGAGTTGATCTGAATTGGGTCTACATATCGGTTAATCTCAGCAGCTTGCCCATGCGGAAGAGCTGGGACATGGAGCCTCGTCAAGAGCTTGGGCATTTGGCCACTACCTTCGGCTGGATCCCGGCAAATGGAGCTGCGCATGATTCTTGTCTGCGCAGCATGTGCTCTTCGCCCCGCGCTTTTGGATAGTAACGGACAGTATTCTTGGACTCCAAATGCGGCAGAACATGTCCAAGCATGCTTCGTCAGACAGCAAGTACCTTGATGAATGGGAATGGCTGACCGTGCTTCCTGTACCGTAAGGAATCGTTTGCGGCTGACTTGCGCAGAGGGGCGACAGCTGGAATTCAAAGCCGTCGGAGGCACTCCGTACTGGAAGATGTATAGTTTGCATACTGCATCATGCCTCGCTGCCCTGGAAGCTGGTTGACCCACTGCAGGACGTTTGCAGTGTGCCGCCGGACTGCTTTGGTGCTCAGCATGTCACCTTTGCAAGTTTTAGATGGCAGAAAAGGCAGTGGATGGCTGTTGGAGATTGCCATTCCGCCAGATGAGCTTCAACGAGGCTTGCCCGTCTTTCACATGTTGCGCTGGTGGCTTTCACCTCGACAGATTCCGTTGTGACTACAGGACTCCACCGTGGAGCTTCTGGAACTTCGAGAGATTGTAACTTCGAAAGCAAGATGGAAGCCCACCCACCTGAAAACTGCCAATTTACAGATGGCTTCTACCGGAAAGGATTTCTGCTGCGTGCTGTTGAGGTTGTGCATGCTACTTGTACCTGTTTCCGAGTAGCAGGGCGCACGCTTTGTTCCCCAGCCAATGCTGCCCCCGAAAGTGCAAGCATAGTCAAATTGACCTGATTGGTAGAGGTATGAACATCTTCAACCCAGTCTTTGTGCGTAGGCAAGCACAACAGTTTTTCAGTGAGGCAGCGGAAGGTGCAACACAAGTGAAGAACCGCGTTCAGGTTCGACTTGTCGAGAGAGACGCAAACCGACTCCGAGCAGAGCTCCCAGGTTTTTACAGGTTCTCCTGCGGTTGTCTCCCAGCAAGCGTATGCGGGAAGCTTCTTGGCACCAGCTATCACAACAGCACAAACACGTGTCACTGTGAGGCAGAGCTTCAGGAGCTGGCGTGCTCTGCGGGACTTGGAATGAAATTTCGAGAGGCCGACAGCTCACTCTGCATGTGCATGATTTGAACCTACACATGTACCCGATGAGAAGGAAGGCTGAGGAGGAAAGAGGGTGGTGGTGAGATTGCCTTGGCTGGCTCAGCATAAGATTTGGTCGATTTAGCTAGCTCGCCTGGGCTAATTCTGGTACCAAGTTAGAAGGTTGCGCCCAACGAAGCCTCCTGTACAATGCAAGGTGCCGAGGACAAACCCGCCTGAGAACAACAGAATCATGACCATCTTCCTGAGTTCAGGTCTTATGGGTTCAAGATCCCTCAGATTTACCGTTACAGCTGACCCAAGCGAACCTAGATTTACAAACCCTGTTGGGCAACTCTATGTGTACATGCCCCCTTCAGACCTGGATGCGTTGTAAGAAGAACATGGCTGGGGTGCAACAAATATGTTGTAAGAAAAATCAGCCAGTCCAGAAATTGGTGTGCAGGTGGTTGACTTACCCCGTGCTTGCTGAGGGAGTATTGTCAATGCTACCTTGCAAGTCAGCCAAGCTGATAAGCTTGGCGGATGCGTCAATGCTGAATTTGCTGTAACCTGTGAAGGTGCGAAGCAACGGGCTGGTCCGTGTGTCTTTGGCTGCCGATGGCCTGCAGTACACGGTGGACGGAGCTTGGCGCCCGCCCTTTCGGTAGCTTTGATCCATTCTTCAGGCTTCAGCTCACCTTTCCCAACTTGGGGGCATTGACCATGGACGGTTTCTCAATGAATGAACCTCACTTGAAACTTCAGGGATGTTGTGTGTTGGTGCGCTCCCACTGTGGTCCGTCCTTTTCTTGTACAGGATTCTTGCACGTGCTCCCGGGGGGAAGGTCGAAAGAGGTGTGATTCAGCGTGCCATCTGCCTCCGCCGTCTGCAAAGCTCCGAGGCAGCTCGAGTTTCGTGATGACGACGTGGTAGTGCAACTACACTGCATTTGCGCCCTTTGCATTCATTTCTGGGCTTTGCGTGGTGCAGCTGATGATCAGAGACCTGATGCAGAAGTCGGCTGCAGTGTGTGCGTGTAAGGTTCCCAGAGATCGGTCACTCTGCCCAGCTCCCAAAGTCAGAAAGCGCATCGCTGCGGTCCATGCTCCAGGCTCGCATCACCTTCCCATTTGCTGGCCGAGACGCGCCTTCTGCAGGTTCTGGCCGGCGAAGTGGGTTTTGGGGTGTTCTTTGCAGAGGAGGGGCTTTCTTGCTGGCTTTGTGTGAGTCTGTGCTGCCCGCAGCCGCGAGCTGAGAAGCTATTTACCTTATCCGAGAAGGATCCGGAAGGTATCCAACAACAGAGCACACAAATATTTTTCTGATTAAGGTGAGTATAGGTGAGTAGGTCTGTATACAGCCCGCCGTCAGCTG